GTCTTTCACTGTGGAATTTCCAAACATATATACTGATCAACTTCACCTCCTCTACCATCTTTCCCCATTTGAATCCCCCAACCTCTTGTGTGTGGGTGTGTATGGGTGTGCGAGTATGCCAGTATTGGACTTGAACTCAGCTTGGCTTTTTTGCTCAACATTGACCCTCTACACCTGAACCATAGCTCTACTTCCAGCTTTGGCTGGTTAATTGGAGATAAGAATCTCACAGACTCATCTACCTGGATTGTCAGATCTCAGCCGACTTCCTCCTCCTCCTCCCCCTCCCTCTCCTCCTCCTCCTCCTCCTCCTTCTTCTTCCTCTTCCTCCTCTTTTTCCTTCCCCTCCACCCTCCCTCCTCCTCCTTCTCCTTCTCCTTCTTCTGTCATAGGACTTGAACTCCCTCCCTCCTCCTCCTTCTCCTTCTCCTTCTTCTGTCATAGGACTTGAACTCTGGGCCTGGGTGCTTTCCCTGAGCTCTTCAGCTCAAGGGTAGCACTCTACCACTTGAGCCACAGTGCCTCTTCCAGTTTTCTAGATAAGAGACTCAGGGACTTTCCTGCCCAGGCTGGCTTTGAACATTGTTTTTGTTTGTTTTTTTGGGTCCGGTCATGGGGCCTGAACTCTGGGCCTGGGCACTGTCCCTCAGCTCTTCAGCTCAAGACTAGCGCTCTACCACTTGAGCCACAGCGCCACTTCTGGTTTTTTTCTTTTTGCTTATGTGGTGCTGAGGAATCGAACCTAGGGCCTCTAGCATGCAAAGAATGCGCTCTACCACTGAGCCACCTTCCCAGCCCCTGGCTTTGAACTTTGATCCTCAGATCTCAGCCTCCTGAGTAGCTAGGATTACAGGCGTGAGCCACCAGTGCCTGGCAGTTCTTAAAATAATTTCAGCAGGTGCCATTGTTGTATTTTCATATGTGTAAATGAACTACATTCACCATACTCATCCTCATTCAACCTCTTTGATAGCCCTTCCTATTCTGCTGTAACCCCCAACAGAGCCTGCTTTACTTTCTTGTCGATTATCTGTCTGTCTGTCTATCATCTACCTATTTTTGTTGCCAGTCCTGGGGCTTGAACTAGGGATTGGGCTGAGTCCCTGAGTTTTTTTGTTTTTTTTTGCTCAAGTGCATCTAGTACTCTACTATCGGAGCCATAGCTCCATTTCTGGCATTTTAGGTACTTTAGTGGAAAAAGTCTCAGACTTTCTTGCCCGGGCTGGTTTCAAACCATGACCCTCAGATCTCAGCCCCTTGAGTAGCTAAGATTACAGACATGAGCTACCAGAGCCTGGCCATTTATTTATTTATCTAGTGCTGGTTCTGGGACTTGGACTTGGGGCCTGGGTGCTGAACCTGAGCTTTTCTGCTCAAGGTTATCACTCTACCCTTGAGTCACACTTTTTTGGAAGTTCATTGGAGGTAAGTAAAGACCTTCCCACCGTGGGCTGGCTTTGAATCTCTATCCTCAGATCTTGGCCTTCTAAGTATCTAGGATTACAGACATGAGCCACCAGCACCTGGCTCATTAAAAAAAAAAATGTATTAAGGGGCTGGGAATGTGGCTCAGTGGTAGAGTGCTTGTCTTGCATGCATGAGGCCCTGAGTTCAATTCCTCAGCACCACATAAGCAGAAAAAGCCGGAAGTGGCGCTGTGGCTCAAGAGGTAGAGTGCTAGCCTTGAGCTGAAGAGGTGAGGGACAGCACCCAGGCCCAGAGTTCAGGCCCCAGGACCGGCAAAAAAAAAAAAAAATACACCAAAAGATTTCACTGTAGCATTTCATAATGCATATGTTATGTTTTGCTCAGAATTAGCCTCTCTATTATTTTCTCTTCTTCCACCCCATTATTGATCAGCAGCTTTTACTGAGATTTCTTTATGCCGTCCTCATATATAGTGCACTGTATTTTTGAAATTATTCACCCTTAGTAAGATTTAAAGAGAAACTTTAAAAGAGGAGAGAGTACTAGCTATATATGTGTACAGGAGTAGAATGTACCAGGCAGAGGAAATTGTGGGTACAAAGGCCCTGTGGTTATGGTGGGTTTGAAGGGTTCGAGAAACAAAAGGTACAGAATAAGCCAGGCAGCAGTGGCTCATGCCTATATTCCTAGCTACTTAGGAGGTTGAGATCTAAGGATCTCAGTTCAAAACCTGATCAGGCAGAAAAATCCATGAGCTCTTATTTCCAATTAGCCATCAAAAAGCTGGAAGTAGAGCTGTAACTCAAGTGATAGAATGTTAGCCTTGTGCAAAAAAGCTCAGGAACAGTGCTCAGGCCCTGAGTTCAAGCCCCAGGACTGGCAAAAAAAAAAAAAAATATGAGAATGGCTGAGGTCACCTAGGAAGATATAACTGGGTAAGGAGCACTGGGGAAGGGTGGCCTGAGTCACTTCTCTAGCATCACGAGTCTGAGCAAAGGAGGCGGCAGCCTAGGAGACTGAGAAAGGCAGCTATTGAGACTCAGGAAGCCCTGGAGCTTGGGAGTAAGGCTATCATCTAATCTTGTTTGTTTGTTCATTTGCTTTTTTGAGACAGTTTCACTATGTCATAGTCCAAGGTGGCCTTATGCTCATGATTCTCCTGTCTCTTCCACCCAAATGCTGGGATTATAAGTGTAACATTATGACTCTCTCTCTCTCTCCATCTCCATCTCATTCTTTTGGCAGTGCTGAGGTTTCAATTTAAGATCTCATGCTTGCTGAGTTGGTGCTCTAGCCACATCTCCAGGCTGTTTTTTTTTTTTTGTTGTTTGTTTGTTTAGATAAAGTCTGACAAACTTTTCTGCCCATGCTGCTGTATTTTTTATTTATTTTTTGCCCGTCTTGAGCTTGAATTCAGGGCCTGGGCACTGTCTTTGAGCTACTCAAGGCTAGCTCTCTACCACTTGAACCACAATGCTACTTCCAGTCTTTTTGGAGTGGTTTATTGGGAATAAGAGTCTCACTGCCTTTCCTGCCCGGGCTTGCTTTGACTAGTGATCCTCAGGTCTCAGCCTCCTGAGTAGGTAGGATTATAGGTGTGAGCCACCCATGCCCACCCAGCAGTACCAGGAGGCCACTGCTGATGATAGGGGGAGTCTGAACAAGAGAACTTCGTTGAGGAAGACTTCAAATTGCTGGCAGTGCAACTGGAGTGGTAGCGCCTGCCTACCACTTCTCAAATGAATGGTGTTCTAGTGAATTTCTGTTGTCCTGCAGGAAGGGCCTTGCTGTATATCACTGTACTCAGCTTCCTCTGTCAGGAACTCATTCACAGTGAATGTCAAAATGTAGATCTCCTTTAAAGATGACAGGACCTGGGCACTGTCCCTGAGCTTCTTTTGCTCAAGGCTAGCACTCTACCACTTGAGCCATATTGCCACTTCTGGTGTTTTCTGTTTATGTAGTACTGAGGAATCAAACTCAGGGCTTCTAGGCAAACATTCTACCACGGAGCCACATTCCCAGCCAACAGTATTTTTAAACCTATTTATACAAATAAGGAAGTACATTCATTATACCCTGAAAAAAAATACCCCAGGCTGCTCTTCAACCAGAATTCTTTCATTCTCACCCTCTCAAGGATTGTAGTATGAGACTAGTCCAGGCAAAATGTTTGTAAGAACCCACCTCAAGAGAAAAAGCTGGGCATGGTGGGGAGTGCCTATTATCTTAGCAAAAAGCATAAATAGGAGGATCTCAGTCCAGGATGGCCTGGGCAGAAAACAAGACTTTATCCAAAAACAACCAGAGCAAAAGGGCTAGAGGTGTGGCTCAAAGTGATAGCATACCTGCCTAGCAAGTTTAAAGCCCTGGTTCAAATCCCAGTGCCACCAAAGGGGGGAAAAAACAACTAAACAAAGATTCTTGCAAAATATACTTAATACTGTGAGAAAATGGTCACCATAATTATGTGACAAAAAAAGCAGCATTATAAATTTAATGTTGCAGTTACTTTCTCAACAGTGGTTGAAGATGATTATTTTCTTCTTTGGAATTATATATATTTATTTATTTTATTTATTTTTTTGTTGGTCGTGGGGCTTGAACTCTGGGCCTGGGTGCTGTCCCTCAGCTCTTCAGCTCAAGGCGAGAGCTCTACTGCTTGAGCCACAGCGCCACTTCTGGCTTTTCCTATTTATGTGGTATTGAAAAATCGAACCCAGGGCCTCATGCATGCAAGGCAGGCACTGAGTGGTAGACACTGAGCCAGCCCTATATATTTCCTTAACTGAACATATACTACCTTTGTAAAGCTTCTGAGACAGCATACTTGAAATTAAATACTGGGAGATGGATTTTGCAATACATAGAGTACTTCTGTCTCTACCTCCAACATATGTCTAAAGAGGTATTTATTTAGGTCTTTCTCTTCCACAGTGTGTGCTATTTATGGGAAGGTGGGCAGTCAAAGAGTTTAATCAAATTCAAAAGGTACTGGAGCCTGGCCTTGGTGGCTCATGCCTATATATTCTTAGCTACTCAGGAAGCTGGGATCTGAGGATTGTGGTTTGAAGCCAGTCCAGGCAGGAAAGTCTGTAAGACTCTTATCTTCAATTAACCACCTGAAAACCAGAAGTGGCACTGTGGCTCAAAGTATTAGAACACTAGGCTTGAGCAAAGCAGCTCAGAGACAGTGCCCAGACTGTGAGTTCAAGCCTGATGACTGACAAAAAAAAGGCATTGGATCAGCAGCAGCACTCTGAACTGATTCTGTCTTACAGGTGGCTGAGTTGGCACTATCACCTGCTAGCTACACTTCTCAGGACCAAGGGCAGCAGAAATGCCACTGTACCCCACATTTCATGGTATGATGTGGGCTAATGGATGGATACAACAGCAACTTCCTTTAAAAAAAGAAACAAGCAAACCAGTTTATTATCATCTGTGCCACCCAGAGCAGGTGCAAATTAACTCCTTCCCAGAGGCCCTGGTCTTCCCTGCTGAGTTCCTGGAGAGCCGCTCTGTGGTGAGCCCCCATCTTGGGGCAGTGTCCTTGTTCATCTGACTCCAGTCCCAAGGTTCCAGGCTCAAGGCTAAGCTCCACCTCGAGATGCCATAGGAATGCTCTCCTCTCCAGCATCTGAGAAACCTCTGCTTCCGGAGGCTGGGGCCACGTCCACCTGGATGGCACCATGCACCTGGGAAAGCTGCGGGCTGTCCAAGCTAGCGATGAGCTGACGTGGGCCTGGTCGCACAGGCACAAATGTCTGACGCAGTGTCACTGTCTCATTGCCCCCGATGTCTCTGTGGATGGAGACAGGATCGTGAATGGAGGGGGTAGCGGGGTAAGAAAAGCCTGATCCAGGGTAGCCAGGCAAGAAGGAGCAAGTGGTGGAGCAATTCAGGCATTTCTGGGTTCAGCTGGAATCTCCACCCCCACACCAAGACAAAGCCTAAAAGCCCCAGAGCCGCCTCCACATAGCTAGCTCAGCAGCTCCACACCCAGCCACCTGAGCTAGTGATCTCCCCGTCATCCCAGGACTCCTCCCTGCCCACTCCCACATTCACCTGGACAAGGGCGGCTGATGTAGCCCCTCCCTCGTCTCCATCCCCACTACTCCAGCCCTGCCAAATACCTCCAAGCTCATCAAGCCTTCCAAGACCAAGGACACTTCAAAATTAGACTCTGAGGCATAATATTGCCAGGCATTTTTGGTGTTGCTAAGATAGTAAGTTAAATGCCACCATCATCTTTCCAAATAAGAGTGAATATTTGAATACACCAAAATCTTAGAATATAATCTCAGACAACAAAGCAAAGTGCTTCCCAAGAATGGGCAATTAATCTTGTTGACTATATGTCACATATTCCTTATGCCTGTATATGTTCATGTGTGTATGGAGGGTATGAATGTATGTACATGCATATGCGAACATGCATACACACACACACACACACACACACACACATACACACACACACACCTCCTTTATGGATCTCTGACTTCATCTATTCCCAGCCAGCTCTCTAGGAATTGATTTTCACCAGTCTCTAACTGGCCTCCTTGCTTTCCCATCTCACTTTTCCATTCTGTTCTGCTAAGTACTTAAAGGTGAACTAAATCCTTTCAGGGCTTAGTTTCCCTGCTACCGATGGGGTGAGCACCCAACTCTTCAACCTGAACCACAGGCTCACCATGACTCAGTCCCCACTCTTGCACAGCTGAATTACTTCTACCATTCCTCTGCAGACCAGCCCCACTGACCGCCTTCCCTTGCACTCAGCTCACCTCCACTGTGACACTCTGCAGAGCTGGCCTGGCCTGAGATTCTAGCTCTGCCTCCCCATCCTGTATAAATGATGACATTTATGTGCTGTCTGCTTGTACTTGCCAAAATCTGTCTTACTCTGTCCAAGCCTTTATCCAACCCAAGCCTGCCTTGGGGGATCTGGAGCCAGACAGATCCTGTGCAGCCATCACAGTCCTCCAATAAAGTCACCCAGAAAGATGTTTTCTGTGGGGCAAAGCACTTGATCTGAAAACTGCTTCTGAGAGGTTTCCCTGGGCAAGTCTTCAACTGCTCCTACTTGTTAGGTGTATGGCTTATGGCAAGTCACTTAATTTTCTGGTCCTCCCTTTCTGGTACATAAAATGGAATTGAGTTTAAAATGAAGGGAGGCAGGACACAATGGTCTTGGATGTGCCTTTAAGCTCAAAGAATGGGGGGGCTGGGAAGGTGGCTCAGTGGTAGAGTGCTTGCCTTGCATGCATGAGGCCCTGGGTTTAATTCCTCAGTACCACATAAGCAAAAAGGAAAAAACCTTAGAAGTGGCTCTGTGGCTCAAGTGAGCTGAAGAGCTGAGGGACAGCACCCAGGCCCAGAGTTCAGGCCCCATGACTGGACCCCCCACCAAAAAAAAATCAAAGAATGGGAAGCAGGAGTGTATAATATGTTGGACTAGGAAGCCTTAAAACGTAAGTCAGCCTTGAGCAAAAAACTCAAGGACAGTGCTTAGGCCCTGAGTTCAAGCCCCAGGACTGGCATAAAATGAAACAAAAAACCTCAAGTTAATATAACAGGTTATGTTTTGACTGATTTCAATTTTGTGTTCTTAATTTTTGTCCCCTTCTCCATAGATGCAGGTTAAAGGTTATTAGGTTAAGGGCTCTTGACTCCGCCTCCCAAAGTCTATTTAACTATAATTGAATTTTCGCAGTTCAGAAATTGTGTGTGTGTAGGTATATGTGCGCACTGTCCCTTGCCTTTTTCACTTAAGGCTGGCAGTGCTTTATCACTTGAGCCACAACCGCACTTCTGGCTTTTTATTGGTTAATTGGAGATGAGTCTCACAGACTTTTCTGTTAAGGCTGGCTTTGAACCTTGATCATCAGACCCCAGTCTGAGTAGCTAGGATTAGTGGTGTAAGCTACTGGAAAAAGAAAGTTTATGTTACAATAATTAAAAGTTTCTGAAAGAAACTGCTTTCTTTTTTTCTTGTAGGTCATAGGACTTAAACTCAGGGCCTGGGCATTGTCCCTAAGCTCTTGCTAAAGGCTAGTGCTCTATCATGTTGGGTCACAACTCCACTTCTGATTTTCTGGTGGTTAATTGGAGATAAGAGTCTCATGGACTTTCTTGCCCTGGCTGGCTTAGGTCTCAGCCTCCTGAGCAGATAGAATTGCAGGTGTGAGCCACTGGTGCCCAGCAGAAACTGCTTTCTTTGAAAAGGTGGTAATGTTAGGATCTCTTCCTATCTCTGTGCTAGATTTAGTATCAGGTGAGGCCCTTGCCACACATGTTTTTGAGTTTAGCTGAATTCTAGTCACTACTAAGGCTGAAATGCCCTGCACCTATGCATAGGTAATAGAAACCAACTCCTAACAGGTATATCAGAACTGAGATGGTCTTGTGAGAGCTGCCCTTAATTGCATGGAGGCAGAGCTTGAAACTCTTTAGATTTTTCTTGAGACATTTAAGACACAGACACACACACACACACATACACGCGTGCGCGCGCCCACCTTTCCTTCACAACATGCCTCATTTTGGACTGAAAAGAACATTATTACCCAGCTCGTTTGCTTTCTTTGTAAATTAGTCTGACTTCAGACTTTTCCCCAGAGTTAAATCCATTCCCAAGAAGGAAAACTGGCCACTCTAAGGACATTGTAGGCCCTGGGGGAGATTCCTGAGGGATTGGAACACAAGTGCAGCCTCCCCATGACTGTTTGGGTGGTGACAACAGCCCTCTGGAGGCGTAGGTCCTGGAATGTTTATTAAGTGGACAGTCACTCCATTCGGGTGGCACACCTTATGGTATAATGGGGTTCCATACCACAGCCTTTGATGTACAAATGAGAGGCCAAGGAACACCCATCTAGGAATCTAATAAATCTGAACCAACAGCTCAGGGATGTCCCCTTCCAGTTCCCAAATGTCTGGACACTCTAGTCTTGTTACAGCAGCTAACTATCTGCAGAATGTGCAAAGAGAGCAATTCCTGAGGAGGAGCCACCATCTAACCCTCTCGTTTTCTGTGGAGGTCAGGCCCTTGGGCAGGAGAGACTCAGGGAAGCCCTACAGCTGAAGACAGAGGCCAGGTCTCCAGAGGCTCAGCACAATGGTGTTTTCTTTACATCCAAGTGAGGGCAAGAGTCAAAGGCCTGGTAGAGTTGCCAGGAGGTGTCTGTCCCCAGGACAGGGGAGATTCCATCATGACATGAGTGTGACTGACAGACATCCCAGGGCAGGCTTAGTAGGGCAAGCTGTCTAGCATCTCTCTGGGCACCCAGACATCCTAATAAGGTATCCTGAGGACAGTGCTACTTTGTGATGTGGCACAGCATCCCCAGGGGTCCCGGCTGGGGGAAAAGATCAGGAGAGGAGACTCTTTAGCTTGGACCTAATGGTCACCACCAATAGGCATAAGGGAAGATGGGGAGTAGGGGTCTTCAGGTGGGCAGGGGTCCTTCACCCCTCTCCCCTCTTGTGGATCTGCTTTCCCTCAGGAGCCTTCTCAAAGCAAAATACAACATTTTTATTATTTAAAAATAATTAATATTCCAAACTTACTCTATAGCTTCAACCTATATTGTATATACAAGTTATATTTCTGACCTAGTCAGGGAAATTCTTTAATTTAATCATTCCTACACTTAGAGATTTCATCAGGAGCCCTGAAAGCTGGTTTTAAAGGTTAGCTTCTGACCTTCTCCGCTTTCTCTCTGTGCTTTTCTGGAGTGGGGATAAGGCTTCAGGTGTCTGTGTCAGAAATGACAGCCACAGGCCAGGGGACACAAGTGCTCTATGTGCCCTTCTGGGATCAGAGCCTCCCCTAACCCTGGATTGGGGCCAGGCTGTGTGTGGCTTGGAGCTAACTCCTTTGGAATTGCTACTTGGCTCTCAGGGCACAAACCAGGTAGCCAGCTGAAGAGTCTGGTTGGTACATGCCACCACGGTAGAGAACAGTCTACCCTTATGAGCTGTGAGACTCTAAGGTATGGCTCCAGCCTCCTCATTTGTAATCCTGGACTGATCATGGAAATAAAACTAGTAGCAGAGGACTAACTTTCTGCCACCTCCTGGCTTAAACAATCTAAGGGGCAGGTACTATTGTTATCTGCACTTGACAGTGAAAACATGGAGGTTTAGGGAAGCTAAGTCATTCACCCAAGGGCACCTAGTAAGGAATAATGGAACTGGAATCCAAGTCTTTAGGGTTTCTGGGCTTATGATCTCTGATGTACTTTAAAGGGCCTTTGTGATCTCCAAATAAGAGTCCTGCCTGTGCCTGGTCAACTCTTCAGTGCTGGACAAATGCTAGCAAGGGTCACAAATGACCCCATATGGAGTTTTAGTTCCCTAATTGGATAGTGACAATTGCATGGCAGCATGGACTGCCAACAGGTCTCCTTAAGCCCCTGACTTGAGTCACAAAGGTTGCCAGCTTGTCCCAAGCTGTTTTGTGGATCCAAAAGGAAAAACAATACTGAAGCCTACAGCAGCCAAAGAGAAAAGATAGGCAACATCAGGGACAGGAGAAAAGTTCAGACTCACCCAACATTGAGGACCTTGGGTCTCTGTAACCCAGAGCCTTCAAGGCGGAAGACGACGTTGGTGAGGGTTACAGGTAGGGGGTTCTTGAAGACAATCTGTACTTCACACTCCTGGCCAACCACTGCTGCTCCCAGTAACTAGAGAAACAGAACGCCCCCCCCCCCTTTATCAGAGACCCTGGCCAAACACAAACACACAGGGACCTCACACTGTCCCGCCTCTGACAGACTTCCCAAAAGACAGAGAAGAAATTGCAGCCCACTCCATAACTAAAGTTACCACAGAATCTGAGACATGAAGAGGAAGCTGAGGCCTAAAGTGCAGTTGTCTCTTAGAAAAGGCTCATCAGGTCAGCCTGCTTCATGCTTAGCATCATCCCCGCCCCCCCCCCCCCCCTTT